CCACACATTACACTTGTCTGAAAATTGAAAAATGTCAATCAGTCTAATAGTGTGTATGTGTATATACTGAGGCAGTTTCAATTTCTTTGAGTTATTTCGCTGAATTAGCCAGGTGTCCCAAAACATTATAGATACAATCCTAGCAAGGGCATATGTATAAAACTCAACATCAGCCAATAAAAAACTTTCCTAAAAGCTAAAATAGACTTAGTCAGGGTCTTTATCATGTAATGTAACAGCCAAAATTGTATACCTAATGAAACAAGGTGCTTCAAGAAGTACAGAAAATTACATATTATGCTTTTTATATGAAGTAGTTTTGTGCTTAGTCCCAAAACAATTTGCATCTGCCTAACAGTACCTATGAAGCTTTGGTGGTTAAGAGCACAGGATTTCAAGCAGATGCCAAGAACCAAATTCAAATTTTACCATCAACTGGTTGTGTAACTTTGTGCAAGTAATTTAAACATTCCATGCCAAAGTCTAGTGTCAACGTAGATATGATAGGAGATTTGTCATGCTAAGTGCCATTAACCTTACCTGGTACATTATGAATACTCAAATATATTGGTGTAATCTTCCAGTTGTAAGGGACATAGATTTAGTAATAATTATAAAGATGATATCTTAGGTATATTTTATGAAAACAGATTGTAAAAGCCTTCAGTTGTAGATTTTGGAGTTTTGGTAAGACAACTAGTAATCACAGTATTTTCGGTTAGGCAAATGTTATAATTTGACTTGATGTTAGGAAAGAAAATTCAACAAATTTATAAGAAAACTTTGGATTAAATTGTAGTTAAAATATAATTATAACTAGACATCTGGAATTTGGTTGTTTGATATCAAATTAATTTAAGTCAATGGCAGTGAGGACTTGCTTTTAATAGAAAACAGATGAACTGGAAAGGTAGGCCAGAGGTTTGTTATGCACCAGGATGAAAAGGATTTGAATAGACTATTCAAATATAAGGTTAAAACATTTTTTCATATGAAGAATTTAAAAATTTTCTAAATATGAATATGATTAACGTTATAGCAAAAAGCACAATGCCAATTTTTTTTTATTATTTAGTGCTATATCAACCCTAGCATTTTTAGGTGTATCACTTAACTTTTTTTGTTATAGCTGGATCTCCCCTAATTCTCTCAGCCATCATTATAACCAAGAAAATGTCATTTTAATTGCTGTTCTGTCACTACAAGTGATCTTATAAACATAAAGTTTACAAGTTTACAATAAACATATAGTACCATAATGTTTATTGATCTAAATTTCCAATAAAGTTCATTTATTATGAAGAAAGACATTATTTATGTATCATGGTATTTATATACATAAACAATTTTATTAATTCTCTCTTTGAGGGCATCCAGGTAGAGCTAGAGATGAGATAAAAATATGTTTAACTTTTAGATTTATAAATAACTCCACAATATCCTCTCTACTCATTCTAGTCATGAAATAGTTGAATTGGGTATGAATAAGTTAACAAATGACTTTATTTTATTATTTAACTTAATTTTTTTGAACAAGTCATTTTAGAAAAAAATTTCAAACTATAATGTCCAGGAAACTTGAACTTACAGACATTCTTTTAGGAAGATATATTGAAGACAGGCAGACAAAAAAGAAAGAACAATTTGGACAGTAGAAATGTGTATATTTTTTAAAAATGAGTATTTCTACCACTGTAGAACTATTACATAACAATATTGCTGCAATAGAGTATTTGGGTAGGAAAATACTGAGACATAAAATCAAAAAGTGCTCTGAGTTAAGAACCATGAATGATACTATACCTATCAATCCTGTCCATCATTGTTGCTATTCATAGGGGAGTATCCCAAGGATTAGTCTAATTCGTCATGGTCTGCATTCAGTGTAACTCTTCATGCACCCACATAACACAATGTATCTAAAAACCCTCAGCTTGTTTTAGGAGAATTTATATAAACCAGGATTCTGAACCAATTGGTATTTGAAAAATAATGAGTTGGTGGAGTAAAGTGCTGGCAAAACTCAGAAACACGTCATCCTCTGAGTTCCTTCTATTCACCTCCTTTGTTCTTCTCAAGTTGATATCCTTGACCTTATCATCCTTCCCCCAATATTTCTAGTGGCCATTTTGGTTTCTCTTTCCCATTTTTCTAAAAAATATCTTATTTTAATTCCCATAAGTAGAAAATGATCCCACTGTGAAGTCCACTATTTTGGTGATAAAATGTATAGGTTCTTCCTATTTATTTTCTTTATTTTCTCGAAAAATATCCCTCAGTATAAAAGTGACAAAGAATAAGAAAAGGGATATATACATAGAACTATCCAATGAAGATAGCAAGAATAACCCTGTTGAAGTATGATAAAAAAGATTAGACTTTACCCTCTAGGGAAGGAATGACTCTTGGTTCTAGATTGTATAATGTTCCTATTCCTAAATGATGCCCTGAAAAATCCTAAGAACCAGTATATATTATCTTCCATGTAAAAAAAAAAAAAAAAAAGACTTCACAAATGGATGTGATTAGGTTAAGGATATTGAGATAGTATAATTATCTAAGATTATTGGTGTAGGCCCAACATGATCACAAGGGTCATTATAAGAGGAGATAGGAAGGTCGTAACTAGAGAAAAATTGCTATGACAACAGAAGCAGAGAGAGAGTTTAGAAGATGCTACTCTAGTTCCTTTGAAGATAAAGGATGGAACCACAACCCAAAGAACACAGGCAGTCCCTAGAAGCTAGAAAAGGCAATGGAACATATTCTTCTTTAGAGGCTAAGGAAGAAATTCAATCCTGAAGACTATTTTAGACTTCTGGCCTCCAGAATTATAAGAGAACTGGTAAGGGAAAACAGTTATAATTAGATAGAGATTAAGAGGCTGATATGTGGGATTGTGGAATCCTAGACTAAAGGAATTACCATGCAAATAGCAGGAAAGGGTTAGTTATAAGGAGAAAATTTGGATGAAATACAAATTGGTTTTAGGGCTAAAGAAAAAGAAACATTTTAAACATATCCTTAGTTTGGGTTTTAAGCATTGGTGAGTAAGGTACATAACTGAAAAATAGAAATTGCAGAAAACAAATTGATTTGGGGTTAAAATTGGTGACTTTAGCTCTTTTCACAGATTCACAATTGAGTGATAACACTCATTTATGCATGTTATGTCATATTAGGATAAAAAAGAATAGTCAATACTGTGTTGGGTAATCATAAAATACTGAAGTTACAGGGGCACATAGGTGGCTCGTCCATTGAGTGTGGGACCCTTGGTTTTGGCTCAGCTCATGATTTCTGGGTAATGAGATCCTGCTCAGTGCTGAGCTCCTGGCTCTGTGCATAGTGGGGAGCCTGCTTAAGATTCTCTCTCTCCTTCTCCTTCTGCCCCCCAATAAATAAATTAATTAATTAATTAATTAATTTTTAAAAAGGATTGAAAAAATTGAAGATGGTGTTTGAGTCTTAAGAATATTCACCAAAGATTTCTCTGTATTTTGCAAGTCATCTTGTGCTCTTCATAAATGCCAAAGCCAATGATCCTCTCCTTCTACTTGGCTTCTGATGGAACAAAATAGTCATAAAAAATTATAAGAGGGCAAGATAAATATTTACTGTATACACATCTAGTCCATGGATGTATACGAGAAAATATCTAGAATGAAGGAGAAAAGACATCAAAAATAGTACTGAAAATTTCTATTGAAATATTATCCAAATTTAGAGTAAGATTTCAGAATAATTTTGATTGATACCAATTTCTTATATCCAGGCTTATCCTCACCATAAAAAGTTATCAATGATTTAAAGAAAGCTATCAATATAAGATTTGTTTTAAAATATTAAAAAAGAATTTAGAGGAATTATAGCAAGTTTTAATTTTTCCATCTTATCTCCTTCCTCACTTCCCTTCTCAAATAATGGCCTCTAGTGCTTTCATGACATTTTCTTTTTGGCCCATGAAAAACATCAAAGTTAACAAAGAGAAGAAATAAATCAATCAGGTCTTTAGAATAATTTTGGAAACATACTGGGATAACCAGGTTTTTAAAAGCAGAGTTTTTATGGGTGCATTAATTCATTGTTTGTTCCCTAGTCTGAGCTTTTAAGTATCAAGATTTAATGAACAAAAGGAGCTGGATAAAAAGTCTACCTACACTCCCAATTAACTCAGGAAAATATGGTAAGAGAACAAGACTACAGTTGCCCAGGGAAATTATTCTTTCGGGGATAGGACTTGGGGAGCCAGAAACAAAGCAGCAGAGATGTGTATAGATAGACTAGATTTATGGAACTGGACTTCAGAAGACAGTTTATATACGGACAGGAGAGGTATTGGACAAGACATTAGACTGAAAGGAAGGGTTTAGCTTCCCAACACAGGGGAAAGATATTTAAATATATTTAAAGATATATAAAGATATATTTAAAGCTAAGGTCTCAGCTTCAGAACCATGACCCCATCCTGAGGCCTTTGTTCACCACTAGATACTGGGCATGCCTGTTTTTGAGGCACCCAAGCAGCCACCTCCTGGCCCAAATGAAAAGCCAAATTGAGTGCCTGTATTTTGGAATATTTAAACTATTTTAAATCATTGCATTTGTGCATAACAATATGTGATACAATGAAACTCAAATTCACTTATTCAAAAAAAAAAACAGCTTAGATTCACCCACTCCTAAGTGGGCTATAAAAATAATTTGTTTTAATATTAGCAAATTTATCACAACTTTTTTTCTTTTTAATGAAAGCTATCTCTTATTTCTTCAACAAAGCCCTCAAACAGTGACGCTCTCAGCTTTTAAGACCCATATTTTCTGCAAGGATGAAAACCACAGCCCTCAACATTGCCTAACTCACTTGATCAAGGAATTGCATCTATAGACCAAAGTTTCGTGCTCATCCCTTTAAGTGCTGATCCGTGTATTGGTCTCTGTTGCATTTTAAATGCCACCTCATGAAGAACAATGGTTGACAATAGAAATTACCCAGTGGTATGCTCACTTGGCAGCACACACACTAAAACTGGAATGATACAGAGAAGATTAGCATGGCCCCTCACAAGGATGACACTCAAACTTGTGAAGCATTCCATCTTTTAAAAGAAAGAGAAAGAAGAAAGAAAGAAAAGAAAGAAAGAAAGAAAGAAAGAAAGAAAGGAAGAAAGGAAGAAAGAAAGAAATGGATTGTGTGGAGTAAAGCTCACACTGCATATCTACACACTGCCTTTTATGAATCCTGCCCTTCTCTCTACCACACATGTGACTGCAACTTTATATATAAAGAAAATATAGTGTGACCAAGTAGTTTATACAAAGTATGCAAAAATCAAGTAAGTCAATGCACCAAGTTATTAATTTAGAACCTCAAAAGACATCTTGAATCAACTAAGCCCAGGTCACTGTCTTTAAATGACACAACAGACCATTGAATTTAGTCCAAGTCTCTTACAAACACATACGGCCACCACGCTTTCATATCTATGCCAGTACTTTTACACATGGCAGAGAAATTAAACTCTCTACAGTCAGTGTTGGAGTTATTTTAGATATATGCAGCCAAAATTAAAACTAACTAATATGGGTAGAGGCAATATTATTTTCTATTTAACCTCTCTACCACATAATTTAAAAAATAATTTTATTTATATTAATTCATAAGGTCATAAAGTACACATAAATATACATAAAAATAGTAAGTATTTTTACAAAAAAATTATTGCAAATCAGTGGCTAAGTATCAATATCCTGATGGAAAAAATATATGAATAGGTTTTTTTGAAACAAAGAAATCACATGTATATGAAAGTATACCAAGATCATTTTAATATACTAGTATCTAAACCAATATACAATGATATAGGTTAGTTATATTTCAAGAAAATGAAAGAGAAAAAATAGATTAAAATATTTTTAATTAATTGAGGTAGTATATACAGTGCTTTGGAAATGATCGGCCATCACTTATGATTGGAATGTGATCAGTATAGTATTTTGCAAGACTTTGGTAATATATATTGAAAACATTCAAATACGGATAATATTTGAACCAGCAATTCAGGTTCCATAATTTATGTTTTATATTATATTTTCATAATTGTAGAATTTTTTTCTTTTTGGCATTCTCCAAAAAGGTTCTCCAGCATGTGTATTGTACAACTATAACTCAAAGGCCCAATTTTCCTTTGTCCATAATCCAATAATTTATCAAAATACTTCTCTTTTGGATGAATTCAGGTACTCTTCCATCATGAATGATAATACTTTTCTTCATCACTCTATCAAATATACTTTGTGTTGTTTCATGTCCTTGTTCAGATGTGTAGAGATTCCTTATCACATACTAAAGAAATACAACCTCTTTACCTTTCCTGTCATCTTCGCTGTTCATCATAGTAAAGCCTTTCCAATCAAACATGTATCAGAATTGGAAGACTCAAGTTAAGTAGAAGTTACAAAGACAATGAAATTCCAAGTAGTAAGCAAATTTTGTCTTAAGACTCCCCTCAACTCTATCCCTCTGCCATATTTGGGAACTAGTCATATAAATGATTCTTTGATAGAGAAAAGGGTAAGGTAAGTTGGTTGTATGTACCATACTTCCACTGGAAGCCAATCCATCACACAGTAAGTACTTCAGCTGGGACATAACCACAGAACCGGAAAAGCATAAACCCTGGATTTACTGTAGGCTGAATCCCAGTTTTCCTCCTTGACACAATGATTTATGCATCACTTTTCTTTAGGGTCTCTCAATATTGAAGTTAAATATTCATAGTATCTTTGTGTGCCCTGTATTAGTGAACTTTATTTAAAACCAATAAGCACACTGTATTGATAAAAATGGCATTAATAAAAGTGTACTAATATCTTAGTTTATTTCTTCCATAAACTTGAAACATACGAAACTAATCAAATAGAAATAAATAAGAAGAAAACCAAGTTTCTGTATATTAGAGATGTTAAATACTATCTGTTTTACAATAATAAAATGACCAAAAGTGTTTCTTCACATAAAAATCGGTAGACTTATTATTTAATAACATTGTATAAGGAGACTACACTTAGTTAAATGCATAAATATTTTCATTCATTTTGAAAACATATGGAATATATGCCTTCAATTTAGGGTCTCTCAAATTAAAGACAGGAAAGCAGTTGCAGAATATCATTGCATCGTTTATATCGCCTTATTTACTAATGGATCAATCTTGAGAAGTGTTTCCTTTTTTAAAAACGACCAGTGAAAATATACTTTTCCAAGATGGAAAAAATTGCTTGGTATTTTATTTATACTCACCACGTTCTTTAATAAAAACCGAAAGCAGCCAATGTCTATTCAAATGATAATAAATAAAAGCACCATATGTTTTAACTATGACAGAATAAAAAATTGGGCTTTGATATTGCTACTATATTTGCTACCTAAAAAAGTAACATATTACTATGTTAAAGGTATACAGCCTCGTCCACCTTAGGCTTTCTCCAAAGCTGTGGATACAGATCTGTCACTCTTCTTGACACAGCACTGACATCAGGCCTACCCCACAGAAGGATGAAAACCTAATGCAATAAGAATTTCTAATCTCCCTGCAATCACATATTCTTTCCTTGAAGCTCTGCCAGGAAGTGTTTCCTCTGAGAACAATGTTCAAACTTTTCATTACAGAACTCAAAACCACTTAAACTCATAGAATTTTAGATGCTCATATTTGCATTAAACTTGAAAGATTGGAGTTGAATTCATGTGGGGGGCCTCTGAATCTTACTAAGAAATTATAAACTTTTTTTTCTGTCTTGAAAATTAAATGCTGCATGGATGGAGATCATTGGTTTAGTATCAAGTTTGATTTAGCTTTCCCATTTCTTTTGGGATGCTGTGCTTTTGTGGGATGTCATGGATACCTGAGTAAAAAGCAAGAATACAGACAGGAAAACTTCCTTAGGACTCATTGTCGATAGGGAAAAAATGTGCCTGAATGTGTGTGTGTGTGTGTGTGTGTGTGCATGCGTGCTCATGTGAGTCTGTTGTGTCTATACTTGTCATTCTGTAGAAATTGATTTGCCCACTATATTATTAGGTGATAACATAAGATTTGTTGTCTTCTTTGAGATCACTTGAGTGCATTCAGGGACAATGTTGAACTCTTCTTTAAAAACTCTTTAAAACCAACTGAACTAAACTTATGATTAACATGTTTCTGCCTTCCTTGAGATCCTAATGGAAAGTGACTTTTAGAAAGGTACCATGAGAAAAAAAGAGCGTCTTTTGTATTAACCCAACAATTGCAAATGAAAAACTAAGAATTATCTCCATTCCTCAAGGAATCACTCAGTTTTTACCTTACGTTCCAGAGCAAGATTTTAGATCAAAGGTCATCACAATTTTTCTGTAAAAGGCTAGTTAAAAACTATTTTTACACTTTGTTGGTTCAGAGGTCTCCATCCCATCTACCCAACTGTGCATGAAAGCAGGATGGTTATATATAACTTTATTTACAAAATAGGGGGTGAGCTATAGTTAGACTGTGGGCCCTAGATTGTCAATCCTGGTCTTAAATCATGAATATATGCAATAATGGCAAAATTTAAGGTGTGAAATCTAAATATTTTCCATTAATATTAAAATATGCATGTATAATAAATCTATTCTTATTGAAGATAGTGTATATTCACATTGAAGCCTGTTATCTGGAAATTACTCATTAATATTTTTGATATTCATTGGAAATCACTATTTATAACAATGTTTCTCTTTCATTTTTTAGAAAAGAAAAAAGAGCAGAACACAGATGGAGCTAGAGTTTATTACGCTAAGTGAAAGAAGTCAGAGAAAGACAAATATATGATTCCACTCATATGTGGAATTTAAGAAAAAAAATGAACATAGGGGAAAGAAAATGAGGAGGAGAGAGAGGCAAACCTTAAAATAAACACAACTTTAGAGAACAAATTGAGGGTTTCTGGAGAGGCAGTGGGCAGGGGAAGGGCTAAATGGAAGATGGGTGTTAAGGAGGGCACTTGTGATGAGTACCAGGTGTCAGTAGGTAAATGATGAATCACTAAATTCTACTCCTGAAATTAATATTACACTATATGTTAACTAACTAGAATTTAAATAAAAACTTTAAAAAGTATATAAAGAAAGAATGATTACTTTTATTAGTTACTTTGTTCTGCGTTGAGGATCAAAACAAGGAAAATTTATCTCTCAAGACCTTGTATTCTAAATTCAATCTGAACTAGAAACTGTGAAAATAGAAATGTACATGAAATAGAATAAGAACAGAAAATGTAGGAATTAAATTTATCTTTGGCGGGCAGAAATGCTTACAAAACTAGTTACATCTATAGTGGGATTGTCCATTCTCTTCCTATCACACAGCAATTCAGAGGCACAATAATGTAATCATGCTTTTTGGATTTATGAAATAAATAAATAAATTCTGTTGCAAGGAAACTACAGAGCAAACATATTTGTTTCGGTATGCCAAATAAGATTGCTGCGGGTATAATTTAAATCAATAGTGGGCCAATGAAGAATAATGGCCTATGAAAAATATCCAGATAGTAAAAATTAATAGAAGGTAATGCCTTATTGTATGTATATGCTGCAATGGTGAAGAAGAGTAGTTTGCAAAGAGATTTGGAGGACTCTAACCGGGGTGACTAAATGAACCAGCTTAATATAAACCTAGATTTTAACTTAAGAAGGAGGAGCTATAAGTAGTTGATAATTTAGAACATCATACAGCTGAGGTTCTTATAGGTATTTATGGAAAGGCCACTGGGTCATTATAATTAAGTGTTTGGGAAAGATAAGGAGCCTTTTAAATACCAGTGATGCATCCCTAATCACATACTCCAGAAATTATCTCATTAAACAAGTGAACTGGATCATAAATGTATTATGTCCATATTAAAATCACAGTCTTTGAAAGACTTATATGAACATTTAGATGGATAGTACTTCACCATTCTACCAATTATATATTATTTAATTTGAATGAATATTTTTACAGTTAACTTATTCATGAATATTCTGAGATGTATACTTCCTCAAAATTGATTCAATTATAAGAGTCATATAAAGATGGAAAAT